GACTTACACTGTTTCAAGTTATAACGTTTCGCACTTACGACGTTTATAAATTGACACCGTTTCAACTTTATGACGTCAGTTTCAACTTTACAACGCTTGATCCGATGCGACACCATGCCCGCAAACAAATTTGCTGCATCGCTCATCTCCCTGGACAACATCTGTCCAAACTTCCTTGGACACTTCCTTTAAAAAAGAAGACAAGACTCCAGAAAAACCTACAGCTAAGACTCCTGAGAAGACTTCAGCCAAGAGCCTTTAAAAAAAATCCAGCAAAGTCACCTCAAAGAAGTCCTTCCAAATCAATACGATTGTTATTTACAATATAAATACATTAATGTAGCTATATTACTCATCTATAATTGATTGAGTACAAAATTCTGGGGTATTTTTGGTGAAAAGAGAGTATCAGGACTTGGTTCAGGAACCAATCCCCCATTTATAACATTGTTTCTTATGAGAAAATTGGTTCTGAATTGCAACATTTCGACTTAAGACAGTTTTCAGGAACCAATTGTCTCGTAAGTCTGAGGACTGCCTGTACTAGAATCCCTCGGCCCCTTCCCCTTCCTGACTGAAAGAAAAAAAATCTCATCTTGGATTCAACTAAATATGCATATCTATGTATGATATACATATCTTCTACACAGATGAGTACAGGAGAGCACTTTATTATTAAAACGAATAATCTAATTTCTGTATTCCATCATACAAATTTAATCTATGCACTGACAACTGTGCATGGTACTGGATCAGTTCATGAGAAAGTATATTTTTATCACAAACACTAATTTTTGCAACATCAAAGAACTTATTGCCATTTTGCAAAGTTTGCTTTACATCAGTCCCAGTGCTATATAAAGCATAGAAAAATAAATAGAATAAATGTTTTAAAATCTGGTCTTATTAAATGTCATCTTGTGCTATGTTGCCCTCTCTCAGGATTTCAATTTAGGATACATAAGGAGAAAGAATTTGCTGGCTGCAGAAGCCCCTCTAGACTTTAAGAGATGTTTTGCTGAAAACCTCATCACGTTCTACTTACAAAGATTTGTTAATACCCACACAGCTAGTTTTACAGGATTCATTAGTGCTTTACTAAAACGTAAATTTAAAGTTAAGGAATTACTTGAAAAGGTACATGAAGTTTCTTGCTTACAGTTATAAGTCGCCACACACAGGATACTTGATAAAATTAAGAAAATGAAATTCTAAGCCAAGTACCTGTGGATACTTTCTATTCCTCCCTGTTCCATCCATCCACTGCTTACCACCACACACCCTAAACTTAAATTCTACCACTAAAAGGTACATAATTTCTAATCTGGACTTCCTTGACATTAAGTTACAACCAAATAAGGCAAAATGGTGAAATGTTAGGATAGTTTTATAAAACAGGAACATGCAGAAGAAACAACAGAAGACCATCATGTTTCTCCCTGTTTGCTATCATGCAAGACCCTGTTCAGTTCTCCAATTCCAGTTTTCCATAACAAGTTGTGTATGCTTGGACATCTTAAGAATTCCCATTTTAAATGCATACTTGGGATGACATGAATTCATGCTAGAGCCACGAAATATGAAACAGTATTACTTTTTAAGCTGTTACCTTAAAACATATAGTTATTTAATGAATGCCCAGACAACTGAGCCAAGCTAAACATCCAAGGACTTAAAAAGCTGTAGAATTTCCTAGCCAGAGGTCTTAACTGGCACGTGGAAGCCTCTTTTTACTAATTCACCTTTCATGGCATTTTCAGACTATGTTCTGTGCAACCAGAAGAGGTGGAGAATATAACCAATGCTTCTCTCCCAGACTAAGGAGCCAAGTACCACACATCTTAGAAGTTGGTACTACACACTGAAAGGTTTGAAGTTCAAGAGGTACATCTTATGCCCACATCAATTCATGTGTCAAAACTATCATGCGTCACAAGCCTATGAAGACTGTTCAAATGTCTGAGTAGTAAGTTTTAAAGTGTATTACAGAAGCTTTATAACAGTTCTGAGCTCTGCTTGCCAGCAGTTTCCCTGCCAGCTTCTTCCTACCCCCACATACCAAATGTAACAGCTACATGGAAATGGAAGAGCAAGAGAAACTGACAGGGAAGCTCCCATGACAAGTGTAGCTCTGTTCCTGAGCCAGCCCTTGGTTTTAGCAGATTTTGTGGCTCACCACCTCTTCATTAACAAACCATGGGAAAGTTCATTGGCCAAAACTGCCACCAGCTGCCATTCCAAGCCAGGGAGAGCCAAGAAAGAAAAGTTGTGGGAATTATAGGCATTTGTACACAGATGTGACATTTAAATGCTTATATAACAGAAAACCTAGAAAATGTGAACCCATTAAAAGTTCTCTTGCAAAACAATATGTTGCTATCTTTAACAAGATTTAATAAAAAACAACAGCACAAGCTGTTTCACACTAAATGCAAAATTTACATTGTAAAGAAGTGACAAAGATGAAATACTGACCTTGACACACTAGTCTGGATATACAGGTCTTAAATCATCACTATAAAAACAGTGCCACTGTATTTCTCAACTCTTTCTTGTGGTCTATGACAATTTAAAATTACTCCTAAATTTACACTTTCCAAAACTGTAACTCACTTTTCAGAAACAACCAACACCACCAAATTTAATGCTAGTAACAAAGCATAAAAGGATCCAATCTAGGATTCTCCTAGGACGTTTGTAATCTCACTGGAGCAGGTAGAGAAGTCCACAATCAAGAGCCAATGTAGACTGTGGCAGAATAGGACCAAATTCCAAATATCTGTGGGGGCATTATTTTACTCTTATTCCCCACAAGCCACAATTGTAGCTTGTTGCTGAAATACTTGACAAAGGCAAATTACTCAGAGATGAATTTTTCCCTCACTGTAAAGTCTAGAAGCTCAGCTCCAGGGACCTCAGTGGAAGCTCAGTCACTCATAGATTCATAGATGTAAGGTCAGAAGGGACCTTGTATATCTTCTAATCCAACCCCCTGCTGTGGGCAGGAGAGAAAACTGGGCTCAAATGACCCCAGCCAGGTAGACATCAAGCCTCCTGTTAAAGACCCCCAGGGTAGGAGCCAGCACCACTTCCCTTGGAAGTTGGTTCCAGATCCTAGTCGCCCTGACTGTGAAGTAGTGCCTTCTACTATCTAGTCTAAACCTGCTCTCTAACAACATATAGCTGTTATTCCTTGTTACTCCAGGAGGCGCTCGGGGGAACAAGGTCTCTCCCAAACCCCGCTGGTCCCCCCTAGTAAGTTTATAGACAGCCACCATGTCCCCCCTTAGCCTTCTCTTGCGAAGGCTGAACAGGTTAAAGTCCCATAGCCTCTCCTCATAGGGTCTGCCCTGCTGTCCCGGGATCATGCAAGTGGCCCTCCTTTGGACCCTCTCAATGCTGTCCACATCCCTCCTGAAGTGCGGCACCCAGAACTGGACGCAGTACTCCAGCTGTGGTCTGACCAGTGTCGCATAGAGGGGGAAGAGCACCTCCTTGGCCCTGCATGCGATGCATCTATGGATGCAGGACAAGGTACGATTAGCCCTACTGACTGTGTTCTCGCATTGTCGGCCCATGTTCATCTTGGAGTCACTAATGACTCCAAGATCTCTTTCTGTCACCGCGCTTTTGAGAAGGGAGTTCCCCAGCCTATAGGTATGCTGCTGGTTCCTACTGCTCAAGTGCAGCACCCTTCACTTGTCAGTATTGAATCCCATCCTATTTTCATTTGCCCAACCCTGTAACCTATCCAGGTCCTGCTGTAATCTGTCCTTCCCCTCTAGCATGCCCACCTCACCCCAAATCTTGGTGTCGTCTGAGAATTTAAAGATTCTCTTTATAGGCGAAAAGCTAGAGAGCAAGACTGTTACGTACAAATCGTGACAAGATAGAGAGAAAGAAATAAAATGGAAAGGTGGCCAATTCCAGGAAAGTGGTGAATTTCACAGAAAATTACTCAAGATTTAAAAGGGGTTTTTTGGGGGTTGTTGGTTTTTTGTTTGTTTGTTTGTTTGTTTGTTTTTAAAGAGAACAATATCCTGTCTCTCTTTTTTTAAAGCACAAAGCCTTAAAGAACCAGCCTATATCAAATTAGAAAGATGAATCAAGAATTTTCATATAAAATTAGCATCAAACTGGGGAGGAATGCAGGGCCTTTGCTTTTTTCCCCACAGACTCAAGAGACAGGACTTCAAAAAAGAATCTCTCTAATGACTCAAACTCATGGTAATTTCTCCAAGTTCATCTTGTACTCTTTTTCATAGCAGTCACCACTGGGGTAGTTAGGTACCATGCTGTATTCCACCCAGGTCTAATAATAGCTGTGATGACACTCTCTGTACTACAAAACTAACTGAAAGGGACATGAAAAAAAAGCGCACTACTATCCTCTTTGTAGGAAAAGGAGCATGTTAACCAACCATTAGATATTTTTTAAAAAAGCGTATGTAAGAAAAACCTACAAGGCAATTCAGTCTGAAAGGAAAGCTTTTCTACTATGGATATAACTGTCCTCCAACTTAGATCAGTTCACTATATGATGCCACTTCAGTTTCATTATGCAAAAAGCAAAGGGAAAGCAGTACTCTACTGATAAACATCAACATTGCAAATTTGACCAGATAGGGAATCTAGAGTTGCCAGGTCCTAACCCTGGATATAGCTTCAGCCCACAATCAGGGCACAACTGAAAAAGATATTATATACATATATCTCTTTTTCCCCATACCATATATATCTCAACCATGGTATGGGGAAAAAGTTAAGAAATGGCATCACCTAACTGGCAAAACTGTCAAGAGGAACACCCCGCCCCCCAGTAGTACATAAGTACAAGACATAATGCATAAATTATTACTGCAGTTTGCTTGAGGAGTCAACCTTAAAAAAAAAAAATAAAGACTATTTATGAAATAGTCCACCACTGCTCCTGGTGGCCCCATGACAGTTTATCAGCAAAACATACACACATTTTTAAAGATAGGAGGAAAAGGTCTTACTCTGCTATATCAAGATATCCACAGGAAGCAGCTGCATGTAGAGGTATCCAGCCTTCATTATCTGGTTGATTAATATTTGCTCCATTTTCCACAAGAAATTTCACCATATCTACGTTATCATCTATGCAAGCCTACAAATAAAAGAAACACGAGTTATAAAGTTGCATTTTCTTCAATTTCATCTTTCTTGGAAAGATCTTCAGAAAAAAGTACCAAAGTTTTTAACTGGGGAAATCTTTAGAGGTTATAGATTCCTTGTCAAGAAAAATCCCTGAAAGCCATACAACAGTAACAGTGAATACTGTTTAGCAAAGCTAATACCACCTTCTCATAGATTCTTGCGTTGGAAGGGACCTCAGTAGATCATCGAGTCCAACCCCCTGCCCTGGACAGGAAAGAGCACTGGGGGTTAGATGACCCCATCCAGGTGCATGTCTAGCCTCCCCTTAAAGACCCCCAAGGTAGGGGAGAGCACTACCCCTGTGGAAGCCCATTCCAGATTCAGGCCACCCTTACCATAAAGAAGTTCTTCCTGGTATCTAACCTAAATTTGCTCTCTGTCAGTTTGTGACAGCTGTTCCTAGTTACTCGAAGGGTGCCCTGGTAAACAGAGCATCTCCTATTTTTTGCTGCTCCCCCTTCCCGATGAATTTGTAAGCAGCCACAAGATCACCTCTCAGTCTTCTCTTGCAGAGGCTGAAGAGATCCAGGTCCCTCAGTTTCTCCTTCTCAAATTGATTCATTCTACTTCTGATCTGTTTTTCCTTCACAGCAGTAGTTACAACCACCCTGTATTGAGCAACCTCATTACAAAGTTGTTCCTTCTTATACAGCGTAACCTCATAAATCTGCTGTACTGGGGACCAAGCACTTGCCAGAAATTTGAAAATGTTGGATTTTTTAAACTGGCACAGTGGCCGGTCACAGTGGGGAAGAGGCAGATGGTCCCAGAGCAGTGGCCACATGCGGAGCAGTGGCGTGGGGTGCTGAATGGCAGCGGCAACTGCCCATGCAAGCTTCCCCCTCTGTATCCAGGAGGGAGCAGCAGCTGCTCCTAAAGGGGGTTGGGGGGGGGGGGGGGGGGGGAGGACACGACACACAGCCAGATTTTTGACAATTCTGCATTTTTGGTATCCAGATTTATAAGGTTATACTGTACTATATATGGGCCCCTAACTATGTTCAAACTAGGTTAAAGCCTCAACCTAGTTAACATGTATTGAGACTTCAAGTACTTAAAAGTCCTATCCATAGGGTACAATAAAATAGTTTCACAGGCAATACAGGAAAACTGGTGCCACACCATGGTTTTGCGGGGTTGTTTTTTTTTTTTAGATACAATGCAGATGGAACAAAAAAAAGCAAGGAAAAGGAAACAGTACTACCCTTTCTGCAACTGTATGGTGCTTTGACTGTAAACTGTATTTTAAGTTACTATTCTCCCTTTCTGTCTGGTAACTTATGCAGTTTGTAGTTTAAGGAAAAAAAAACCTCATGCTTGGCTACCAATTGCAGTGTATTGAAAGGTTAAATACATGGATTTCCTACTAATTTGGTCGTCCAGTTAATGCTTGTATGCATTAAACTTTGTGCTGCGCAGATAGATACACAAATACAGACATTTTCCTGTCCCTTTGCTTAACCACCTCCTTTCTCCCTCCATATTTGCCTATTTTTCTCAAATGGTGTTCAGTGGATTTCCTTGCCAACTTCCACACTGCTGTCCTTAAAAGGGCAGAGCACGATGCACAGAAAAAGCTTCTTATGACATCAAGGACTCAAACAGTCAAACTCACAAGAACTTTTGGTGCTTAACTAGTTCAGTTCATACCACTGCACAGCCCCACCTTCAACTGGACATAAAACTGAAAGATCATGTTTGCACCTGCCTTGGGTTGTGCCAGGAAGCAGTGCACTGGAGCAAAGCATGTCCATTCTATGCACAACACTCAAATAGATGCAACATAGCTACTTTAGATTGGGACTAATTGCCCATCAATAAGCTCACACTTACCGATTCTTTCCCAGCCCTACTCAAGAAAGCTACACTGCATCATCCATTTTGGGGCACAGCACACAGTCTCTTGCACAGGTCTCTGGCACTGAACACATGACCAAGCTCAAACTGCTCAGTGTCATTTCCTTGCTAAAATGCAAATATAATTGTACGTGTATATTTTCACTTTTTTGGAATATTTTTAGAGCTTTCAATAGCGAACGTTACCGAATGTTTTAATAGAACTTCAAAGGAGCACACTTTGTGACACAGATTGCACATCCGAATGGAGTTCTTCATGAGGTTCTGCAGTTGTTTATCCACTGAGAAGAGACAACACTTGCAATGAAAGGGAACTGTGTTGCTGCCCCATTAACCCAGTTTCAGAAAGATGCACCCAGCCAAAAAAACAGCAGCAGGAAGTTACTCCTCCCCAACTCTATTAGCTGGAGATAAGTATGAACTTAAGGCTTTGTTTAAGCTGAAAACAGAAACCTTTAAACCACCTGAACTAGTGGTTTCATGATTTAAACTAAACATTAAATTAATGCTGACCCTGATTTTTCCAGGTCTGTTACTGCTAAACTGCAGTTAGTACCAGTGCAGCTAAATATATTTCTGACATGAATCTATTTTCTAATGTAGACTAGAACTATACAAGGCTGCTTAAAAGCCAATTTTAGAATGCAACAAGACTGTACCCCAGGGGTAGGAAACCCCCATCATGCGTACCAGAGTGTGGCACACAAAGGCATTTTTGCTTGGCACACGTGCCTTGGGGCAGACAGCAGGGAAGGGGCCAGGACTGTACTACCACAACAAGGATCAGGTCCTTCACGGTTCTCCTGCTGTTCACCCCTGGCATGCCAACATCTTACAAGTTGAGGTTATGGGCGTTTTTGGCATTCTGCCCAAAAACACTGCTGACCCTGGCTCTAGCCCCCTTTCAACACTTTTTTAATTGCCCTTCTTACCCATTTATTTATGGGTAAGAATTGCCCTTCTTACCCATTTATTCCTTAAACAAATATTTAAATCCTCTCTCTAAATAAGCTACCCTTCTGTCAAAAAGTTCATATACTCCAAGGGAGTGCTTTACCTTCAAGTTTATTCTTATGTATGTTCAACACAAGAACTGTCATTTACTGGGCCAGACCATAGGTCCATTTTACCCAGTATCCTGTGTCAGTGGAAGAGAGTGAAACCTAATGGGGGAGTGAACAGGATAAGACAGGGTTTTTCCCTCTCTCTCACTTGCAGCCTCCAGCACTTAAGGTCTAGGAAGTCTCGATTCAGAGGCTGTACCCCTACCTCCATGCTCAATAGCTACTTTCAAGAATTTGTCCCATCCCTTTTTAAATCTAGTTAAACTACCAGCTTCCACAACATCTTGTAGCAATGAGTTCCACACTTTAAACTGCATGTGGTGTGAAAAAGCTTCCTTTTAAGTTTTAAACTTACTACCTCCTAGTTTCAGTTTGAGCCCCAATTCTTGTACTGAGATGGTAAATAATAATTTCCTCTTTACTTTCCTCTTCGTCATTTAACATTTTGTAAACCCTTGTCAAACCCCGCTGCAACTCTCTCTTAAATTGAATAGATCTAGCCTCTTTTGTCTCTCACATGGAAGGCTCTCCATACCACTAATCATCCTTGTTGCCCTTCCTCTGTACTTTCGCTAGTCCTTCTATATACTTTTTGAGGTGTGGGGACCAAAACTGGGCACAGTATTCAAGGCATGTACCCACCACAGATTTATAAAGGGGCATAATGATACTTTTCAGTTTATTTTCAATTCCCTTCTTAATAACCCCTAACATCCTGCTCACCTTTCTGACACCTGCTGAGGACCAAGCTGATGCTTTTGGCAAGCTGTCCACAATTACTACCTGTGTGGTAACAGCTAATGTAGAGCTCATCATAGCATATGTATAGTTTGGGTTATTTTTGCCCACATGCATCACTTTATACTTATCTATGTTGAATTTCATCTGCCATTTAGTTATCCATTTGGCTCAATAGTGCCAGATCTTTTCTGTAGTTCCTTACAGTCCACCTTGGCCATTACCACTTTGGATAATTTTGTGTCATCCACAATCTGGCCACTCAGCTACTCTTCTTGATCATTTATGAATATGTCAATCTACACCAGTCTTGACACAGATCCCCACTGGGGATCCCCACTGTTTATTGTTTCCCCTGGGGAACCCCACTGTTTATTGTTTCCATCCTGAAAACTGACCCTTTATTTATACTTATGTTTTCTATCTTTAAGCCAATTTCTAATCCATGAGTGGATGTTCCCAGTAATCCCATGACTACCTAATTTTGTTAAGAGCCTCTAATGGGGGTGAACCTTGTTAAAGGCTTTTGGAAAGTGTGGATATACTCTCTCAACTTGATCACACTGGTGACTGACTGCTTAGTGCTTACTGACACCCTCCATAAACTCTAGTAGGTTGGTGAGGCATAATTTCCCTTTGACAAAACCATGCTGATTCCTCCCCAGCATGTCATGTTTATCTGTGTGCTGAGCAATTTTTATTATTATTGCTTCCACCAATTTTCCAGTAACAGAAAATAGGCTTACCATCCTGTAGTTCTCTGAATCTACTGTAGAGCTTTTTAAATGTGGGAGTCACAGTGGCAACCCTCCAAGTCCTCTGATACCAAGGCTGTTTTTAGTAATAGGTTAGGAGTTCAAGGTTAAACACATCCTGTTATAGGGTCCAATGCAATACTTAAGTGGTATAGGTAACGTCCTGAATGAGAAAATCCTCTCTTTCTTTGTAGAGTGCTGATCACCTTGTCACTCAAGTAAGAAAATTAAATGGGAACAGTTATTAATGATTTAAGTGAGGGGAAAAATCCAAGAAATAGTGAAGCTGTGTTTAATAGAAGGTTAAATTTACTACATTGCATATATGCAGTACATTTATTCCTGTTTTTCTGACATTATAACAAATTTAACCAGACCATTTTTTTGTCCAAATGTATATTTTAAGATCTAGAGAAGAAAAGAAAAGAATTCTTCTTTTGTTAAGTTACAACAATGCTTTAATCAGAAACAGAAAAGGTTAACTACAGAACTTTTCATGCCCTCGCAAATGGCTTTTGCACTTAATAGATGTGCAA